ATTTTTTGACTCAGGAAACCTTGAAATTTCGAGATATGCAAAAGATTCGAGGTTTTTTCTATACGTGTGGATGTTAGACTGTGGAGGGGGCATGATTTTGTCACCCTGTTTGAAGCCTAATAATTTCAGTGGTCAGAGTGGTCAGAATCGGAGTCAGATGGTTTAACACAGGAGTTTGTTATTAAGTGTTAAAGTGGTTGAACTAAATCGTGTCCCCATATACATTCTAATATCTTAGGCGAGAGCATCTTAATGGGTTTTACTGTATTATTATAAAATGGTTAAAAAGCTTACTTTGAGGGTAGAGACGAGTTTTATTTTATTTTTTTAAATTTTGAATGCTAATAACAAGTAAAATATTCATTAAGAGATATGACACATGACCATTTTTAGGTCATCACCCTGTCGACCTTTAATTAAGAACCAAAATTTAATAGTATTAATGCCCTTTTATACGCAAGCTACAGTGCCACATTTCGTTTCTTAAACTTTACCTATTTTGAGATATTGTTTAATATCTCACAACAGAAAATAAAGAAATTAAACAAACTAGATGCCAACACACACACACGTGTGAATTTTCCCCTTTACTGACTTTTTTGAGGGGTTCGGGAGATCTCTAAACGTGTAGATTTGCAAAAAAAAACTTGGAGGGTCAAATTTGACATGATTCCAATACTTTTCCATTTCATATACATAACAAGTTGGTAAGTAAAAAGAAGTCGGAGTCGGCGGATTTTTTGACAACTCTGACTCTGGCTAAAACACCGAAACTCCATGACTTCGACTCCACAGCCCTGCTAGAAGATTCATTAATTATAGTTTCTTAATAGTAATTTATTCAGTGATTCATACTACTATTTTTTGAAATGTCTCTAATAACAGCTATTATATAATTGAAGTAAGAAATCCCAGCAGGTAATATTTAATGTTTAAAACACTGATTAAGATTTATAATAATAACTGAATGATTGAATATTATCAGCCACATATTGAGGCTTATATCATGAAAACATAGATGATGATGATGATAACTGAAACTTTATAAATAAAGAAACACTGATTATTTATATTTATTTTCTATTTTTCTATTTTATTGATAACATTTATCAAATTAATGCTATTTTCCACTCCAAAATTAAATTATGGACAATTTTATTTAGAATTTGGAAAACCATAACTAAAACCTAATTGCTGATATTTTATTTAATTTGTTGTTGTTGTCATTTAATTATAAAGGGGTATAAATAAAAAATACTAATAAATGAATAAATCAAACTATTGACAAAAAAGTTATGCACCAACAGTAGGTATTCAAATGGAATAAACCTTTATTTGTATGAACATAAAGACAACATTAATAAGGGATAACAATATCATAGCAAAGGGACAATTTCTGGTTGTATAATGGCATACTTTAAAGGAACTTTTAATATCTTGTGGAACCACCACTTGTCTGGATACATGCACTGACACAGTAGGTATGGTATAATACAGATACTGTATGCTATCCTATGACAAATTTTCTGACAGATATTGTAACTGCTGTTTCAGATTCCTCACTTATAGATAGTCAAAGCTAGCATTCAATTAGTCCAGGGGGAGAACCTATGGCATGCATGCCCAAAGTGGCTGATCAGGGAAATTCATCTGGCATGTAATGTACCATATGATTTTGATTTATCATATGTCATTTTCAATCATCTTTTTGTTTATCACCTGATCATTTTTTTTCAATCAGCCTTTTTACATTTATTCTAATTAAAGCATATTTGTTTAATTTATTTAAATATTATTATTTGAAGTCTAAAACTTTGGCATGCATAAACATTGTTAAAGCTAAATGTGCTTACTATAAGGCATGCTAGCTCAAAAAGATTTGCTACCCCTGAACTAGTCTCACAAATTCTCTGGACAACAAGTCTGGAGACTGGACAGGCCACAAGCAAGTGTGGCAATGTGACAAAGACATTCGTCGGAAACTTGGAAACCAAGCATTATCTTGCTGGAAAATGACTTTTAGCAGCCATGTCATGAAAGGAAATACATCAGGGTGTATTTTCTAAATGTACCACTGTGCTGTCAATATTCATTATACCATTACTAAGAGTAAGTTACTGTCATATGAGATGGCTTTCCAGACTAGCATGCCAGTAGTAGGAATAATGTACCACTCAGCAGTGGTCTTCCCACTCTAACATGGTGATTGTCTATTCCTAAACAGAATTGGGATTTGTCACTAAAAGTAACATGATGCCAGTCCATAACAGTCCATGCTTCTCTGTTATGGCATTACTGCAAACAAAACCAACATTGTTAGGGTGCTAATGTAGGATGAAGAGTGGTCACTGTGCATGCAAATTTTCCTCTGTTAATGCCTACCAGTAGTATGGAAAGAACAGGAGTTTGTAGCAAAACTTCCACTTGTCTCTGGATGATGGACAAAAATGCTGTTGCAGCTCAGCTGTGTGTAATGTCTTTGACTGAATCACACAAACATGACTAGTGTTTGAAAGACCTTCATACAACAGGTATACTAAAAATTCTGAACAGTAGTAGGAATAATGTACCACTCAGCAGTGGTCTTCCCACTATAACATTGTGATTGTCTATTCCTAAACAGAACAGGTTCTGCAAGCCTTTTTATAGAATACTAGGGTATTGATTTTAAGATGGCATTAACTGGCAATTGGATTACAACTGTAATTATTTACATACCTGACTGAGACATTGCTATATTGCCAAGTTTTGCAATAGTCAGACAATTCTATTTGGGTGCATAACTTTTTTGTCACTGAGTGCATTTTCATAATCTAATTTTTATTATTATTTACAGAAACAATTATTTTTAAAATCTGCAAAAGAAATGCTTCTTTTGTAAATAGTTTTTCATTTTATAAACAAACAATTATTAATTTAAATGAAACTTTAATGATACCCAGAAATTAATTATTAATTGATAATTGGTATAATATAATTGGAATAATTTGACATTATGTGAGATCTATTGCTTTTTGATGGCTTTTAAAGTTTTATAATTTTACTTAATTATTTGACTAAGTGAATATTGTCTCTTCTGTTGTTATATTTAATAAAATTATATATATTATATATGTGAGGTTTTGGACTGGTCCAAAACTATCAAAAATTTTGTAAATTTCATCTGTTTAAATGGTGAAAGAAAAATGTTAGAAGTTAGACACAATTTTTGTTTATGTTCCAATGCAACGTCGAGTCATAAATTTTAGAAGGAATGTAGTCCTAAGATTGACCATCTCTGGTTGGGAGATTGAATTCACTTCGAGTTTGACCTCTCCCATGCTCCAAGTTGGGATTCCATTATTAGGTAAATTAGGTAAGTCCCTCGTTACTAAGCATAATGGTATGCTTAGTAACGAGGAACTTACCTAATTTCTCAACCCATCTACTCTGAGAAGAAATCCATGTCAGATTAACTGTATAAGGACTATTGGACAATATATAAGACATTTTCTGTATATACTAAATGGTTTCTGTGTAAGTATACATATCATCTTTGCCTCCGTCACACCACCCACATATGTGAGTGTCCCTTTATCTTCTTTGATGCAGGAAGTTAAGTTTTCCCCCCTCAGGTCGGCAACCTTGCATATTTATAATTTATACAATTTTATAAATTATTTGAAGTTATAAAAATTATTTTGAGTCTTTTTAAGATATTTATTAAGAATAGTATATTTAATAAGAACTCATAAATACTCTTATTCATTATTTGATAAATAATCAGTATAATTATATATCTTTTATTTAAACATTGATATCTTATGCTTAAAATAATATCAGTTTTATAAATATGATTAAAAAATTTAAACAAAAACAGTGTTTAAATTTTCAATAAAATTATAATTAATGAATCAATCAATTACAATAGAATTATTTATACATATTATTCTGTTGCAATAATTATTATAGTCTTTAATGGTAATAATGAGAGGAAAAGCAATTTTAATTTATTAATGTATGTTTTTTTTTATTTTTTTGAAAGATTTTATATATTTATTAATTCAGTTTTAATGTTAAGTTTGTATTGTAATTTTATGATTTGAAACATATATTTGTAAATTATTGAATTTTCAATTTGATATTTTTAATTGATAAATTTTAACAAAAATTATATGTTAAATAAATATTTGTATTAAAAAGTTTATTTTTTGTTTAATTTGTGTATTGGTTAAATGCTCTGCATAGTGCCCAATCAACGTGAGATTCTATTTTTGACTACAGACAGTGTATTTAGTCCAAAACTATATTTGGAACTTTGCCTGACATTTTAAAATTTTATCACTTACTGTTGCACTTAAAGTTGAGTACATTTGTATCTAACTTGGTTATAAATGCAGTTTAAATTGTTTATGATTGACTGACTGTTTTTTTAATGAATAGTGAATGAAACACAATGTGATAGTAAAGTTTTATTTTTTGTCTTGAATATTTAATAATTTCTTTTTTATTATTTTTTATTGTAAGTGGAAGTGACAGATTTACTTGTGAGTTTTAATATATTATTATATAATGCATGAGCATTAATTGGATAGTTGAAGACGGTTCTTTGTATTGCTTTAGTGTTATAAATGTACGCAGCAGAAACCTTTAACATGACCATCTGTAAAAATCTAATAATTATAGTTTATAGGATATAAAATTTAAGAATAATGCATATAATTAGGATAACCGATGATATAAATGTAAGATAAGTTTCTATTTCAAATATTATTTAATGTTTGTTCTTTTTTATGTATGTAAAGAATATAAATTAATTCCAAATCATAAGTTTGAAACTTAATATTTTAATGTAATTCCAAGTCTGATTATGATTTGAAAGTTTCATTTGTTTAATTTGAATGCAGTTCTTCTAAGAAAAAATATTGATGGACCATTTTTAATACTTACATCAATTATTTGTTACCATATAGATTTTTATTTTGAGATATACTAATGTTTTTTTTTATAAAGCTTAGATTTTTTAATAATAATTATTTAAAATAATACATAACTATTTGTGTAAAAGTAAAACGTTTGCTCTGATTATTTGTCAAAAGAATTTGAAGTGCAGATTGTTTATACTGAAGTGAAAAATAAATATTAAAAATAGACATTGTATAATTTTTAGAGAATTGAAACTGTTCAGTATTATTAATAATTAAAATTAAAATTTGTGAACGTTGTGAATATGCACAAGAACATGCATTTAGAGAAAGGAAAATCATCGTTACAAGATAAGAATGGAAAACGGCCAAGAAAAAAATTATCTTTTAAAGATCCTGAAGCTGAAATTTTATCTGCTAATAATGAAAAAAAATCATTAACTATTCCAAGATGTAAAGAATTAAAAAGTCTAAATTATGAAAATAATAATATTACAACAGAGAATTTTATTTTGGATACCAGAAGATTAAGTTCTAGTTTAGAAGATTTGGAGTTAGAGGTAATTTAATAAATACCTATATCTAGAATTAATTAGAATTTTATCTATTAGAGTAATAATATGTTTAAGTAAAATAGATAAATAGATAATAGATGCTACCAATGGTATTAATAATTTTTTTGTGAAGAATTTTAATTCAAGAATGAAGTTTTTATTAATTATATAATGAATAATTGTCTTCATAATGCCATAATAATAATTATACAACAAAGTACATTAATAGTAATAAATTCTTTTATAGTAAAAAGCCAAGGTCATAAATTTATTAGTGTAGAACATTTAGTGTATATATAAAAACCAAATAAACATGAGCTAGATTTTTCTCCTGCAAGTTTAATTAATTGAATAAGTTTGACCTAGAAGTTAGCAATGCTGCTATTTTGAGAGAATTTTAATTGTTAGAATTTAGTTTACAATTAATTAACAATTGAGAAATGTCTGAAATAAAGATTGGCTTAGATCTTTTCTTGTATATTTGATTTTAAAAAAATACTAAAAGTTAATTATATATCATTGTAAGTTAAGGAAGATGATAATATTTAACATCATAATGAAAATATTTGTAAGTTCAAGAAAGTAGGAAATCAAGAAAAAAAATCCTTCAAATTTAAAAAAAATAGATTATATTTTGTTAAATCAATATATATATATATATATAATATTTTCATTTAGAAAGTATCAAATATAATAAAATTTTTTATTTAATGCATCAATATGTTTTTATTATAATTATAATCTGATGATAGGTAAAAATTGAAGATATTTTGGAGAAATTTGAATTTTATAATAAGTATCTTCTATCTAGGATGCAGAAGGAATGGATCTTTATGATTTAAATTATAATAGAACTATTGATGATTTTCAAAGTAATATATTTTACTATATAATCAATATATTTTTATATTTAAATATCATAGCATTCTTACATACAAAAGTTAAAACTTTTTTACATCATCTAATAATTTTTAATATAATGTTTTATATTAAAAATTAATATATTTGTGATAAAATATTAATTCTATCGTCTTTAATACTTTAAATATATTATATTGATGAAGTTTGATAATGATAACTACAGGAATGAAATAAAATAAAATTTATAAATAATTTTAATAGAATAATTAATTTACATTATATTGAAATATTCAAAATAGCCATACATGATATTTTAAATATGTTAAAAATTAATTTGTAAATTAATTTTTAATATGTAACATGTAATTTATATTACATGCAAGAATTTATATCTGCAGATGCTGAAGATGCATAGATTATATAATAAAATGTTATCTGATATATTGATGATGATTTCTCTGGTGTATTTCTGAAGTTTTTTTTTCTTTTCTTATATGAAAATACGAAATGGTGCAATTAAAACTGTATGTAATAGTTTCATATTGAATTAATATGTTTGGTTTTAATTTATGTCACTTGATAAGTGAAGTACAGTGGTGCCTTGTATAATGTACGCCTCGAATAACGGACGTTGCGAACAACGGACTTTCTATTTGGCCATTACGTGACTCGAGCAATGGACTGGCTGTGAACAACGGACTTTCCGTTTGGCAGTTATGTTAGGCAAACAATGGACTTTCTGCGAACAAGTGTGAATGACGTTTCCACTCTTTTGCCGTTGCCAATGACAATCTGCTATTTTTATAATATATTAATATTATTAGAATATATTATTAGTATATCTGAAGTACAGAGCTCCCATTGGGATTCGGCTTGCTCCCTTGTTTATTACATACATCACCTCAGTGCAGGGTACATTTATTCAAGTGTTGTGCAAATCATGGCTTCTAAAAAAACAGAAAGGTGATTTCAATTGAAACAAAGCAAAGAAATCATCAGAAGGAATGAAAGTTGACAGAAATTTCCTTGTCAAATGGGGAGAGGTTCAGGAGTTTACCAACACTCATTATCCAAACAGAGCTGAGGCCAACAGGATCAATGATCTCTACAATGACATCCTTGCCCATCATTTCCGACAGGTGTTGAAGAAGAGAGAGAAACAGACCACTTTGGACATGTTTTTCAAAAAGCCAGCTGTCAAAAGACAAAAGATGGAACAAGAGGAGTTGACCCTGCAAGCCCCAGTAGCCTCTCCTGAATCTGACTCCGATTAAAAAACAATAAAAAGAGACCTGCTGAAATGTGTAAAAAGTCTGTATCTGTATGAATGTGTGAATAAAGTGATCCTCCACCTCCTCCTCACAACATCTGACTACCCGGCATAATTGGTGACTGCTCCATTTTCATTTTTTTTTATGGTACAGTACGGTTATTTTGTGCTGCGGAACGAATTATATGTTTTAATATGTATTTCTATGGGAAAATGCGTTTCATATAACGGACTTTTCACTTAACAGAGGTTCACCTGGAACAGATTAAGTACATTATACGAGGCACCACTGTATAAAGAAATTTAATTTTTCAGTTATTTAAAGCTATTTTTGCTATTTTTGCACAATACTTAATATAAACATGACTAGAACTTTTTAGTGTAGTTTGTATAAATTGAAACATCTTGAATGAATCATTTAAGATAAGTGCATTCTTTAAGTGAAATCAATTAAGTGCCAACTTGGAGAATTTAAAGCACACATACTTTGAAATTCTTTATTTACAGTGAAATTATAAGTTAAATGCTTTAATATATTAATTCTTTTTGTTTTTTTAGATCAGAAAGTGATGAGGAATATACAGATGATGATGATGACGAGGAGGAGGAGGCATGATTTATTCTTATGGATTCTTGNTTTTAATAATGTTTTTACATTTTGGAACATTGGTTATTTACTAAAACTATTAACATGAGAATAGAAAATGAATATCAGAAAAACAAAATTATAGATAAGTATTGGCATTTCAAATATTAAACTATTTTGTAATATATGTGATATTGTTTTAATATATACAATTGATATTTCAGTCTGTTTATTGAAAATTTTAAATTTAACTTTTATTAATTTCAATTCTAGTATTTACAGAAATAAAGGAATAAAGAAAATGATTGGGAATTATCTGTTTTTAAGCAATTCTTTTCAGTATTTCATATGTTTTTTTGTGATTTTCTTTATTGTAGTTAAACATTTTGAATAAATAAATATAATTTTTTCATATGCTTAGATGAATATTATATTCTTTTTATCTTAATATGAAATGTTGGATAAATTTTAAATAAAAATATACATATTTGAACCATTATAAATTATTTAGTATAATTGTTTTGGTATTTACATAACTATTCACAGATATTCCTTTAAATTTATATTAAGATATTATATTTTAAACAGTTAATTTTCTATCAAATTATTTTACACTTGTAATTTATAAATTCTTATAAAATAAAAGTTTAATTTATTTAAAAAGAATTATATTTTTTTAAAATTATGTATATATTGTTTGTTTATCTCTAGAGTCAAGCAATGAGAATTGTCCGAACAGTTGGACAAGCATTTGAAGTGTGCCATAAATTAAGTTTAGTTCATACAACTTCTACTGTCAGTAGTCAGGAAGACATTCCTTGTGAGAAAAGTAATGAAGCTCTTTGTGATGTTTCCACAAAAGGTAATTTAGTTTATATATATATATATATATATATAAATTATGTACAATTCTAAATTTTTAATTTTTTTATAAATAGTTTGAATATTACAAGCAAACACTCTAGTAACTGCAGTTTATTTTTATTAAATCTCTTATTTTTGTGAATATTGACTAATACGCATTTTTTGGAAACTTTTATAAAATAAAAATTAATACTTGTTAATTTTATAATTCTGTTTTAATTATATTGTACTGTATTATTTTCTGTTCCATATTCTACTTATTGTATAATCAAACATTTTTGATTTATACAATAATTTATAATCAAACATTAATGAATCCTTTGAATACATAGTATGAAATGAAAGAGCATTGAAGGATAGTTCAAAAGCTTTTAGAGGCAGTACTGTATGTATAATATTTTCCCTTACTTTTTCAAGTTGCACTCAATAAAAATGTGAGAAGTTTTTGAAATTAAGCAAAAATTTTAGAAAAGTTAGGTAAGGCAGAAACTGTCAAGACAACAGAGTCACTATGGATTTGCAGCAGAAGCCTAGATCATAAATTGATTAAAATTAGAGACAGCAAAACATTGTTTTCTACTTGGAGCATTAATATTGTATTTTCTGAATTAAAATCCTGGGATTCAAATAAATCCTGGTCTTTGAATAAAGTGTGGTGATAAAAATAATGTTACAAATAAATTCCAGGTTGAAAACAATGGAAAACCTGTTAAAGTATTGAACTGTGTAGGGCAGGCCTAGCCAACCCAAATTGTTTTGCAGGCCACTTTGATTACATGTAACATTACAGTGGGCCACAATTTAGGCAAACATGCTTTTAAAAAAGTAAAACAAATACAAAATGAATAAGATTTTGTACTCACACTTGTGCATTATAACAATGATACGTGTGAATTTTCATTTATTTAATTGTTTTGGTATACACATAACAGAAAACAAAAGTTTTAATAGATATATAATATCACTTAGCAGGCCACACAATTTAACGTGATGGGCCGCTGGTTGGCCAGATCTGGTTTAGAGTGACAGGTAAGGAGCTTAAAATTCTACCTCTTCAAATTGTCTAGAGTCAGACAACACTTTCTATTCCAAGATTCACAAACATTTTTTGAAATAAAATTATAAATACAGTAGACTCCCGTACAATGCGGGCAATACATTCCACATTGTAGGAAATTCCATTATAGAGATATACATTATCAGATCAATTTATGCAAGTTCAAACATGTCTCGAAATTTTAACTGTTATTGCATATTGCTAGTGAGATGGGAATTTAGAAGATAGAAATAAAGGGTTAATTCACTACTGACAGAGAATAGAGTTTTTGAATGCAAAGTAATAAAACAATTAGCACTTTGTTGTCATTCACAGTGGGGGACCAGCAGAGTCTATTACTTTCGTGGGAGAAAATAAACAAAGCTTTACTACCCTGAAGTTGAAAAATAATATGATTCTGTGAAAATAAATATACTTAAAATAATCACACCTTAGTATTTCCAGTAATNGACGTTTTACGTAATTGTAGGAGTTTTTTATCATTTTTTACGGATACCGTCGCAATTTTTTCGCAGTTTTATAGGAATCGTAATTATAGGAACCCATTTTATAGGGGTCTACTGTACTTAAAATAATCAAATACCTTAGTATTTCCAGCAACGAAGTATTTAATAAAAATAATAACGTTTTCGACTATTTTTAATAGTCTTCTTCAGTTAAAACAAAAATGAACGTAAAATAGAACTCAAGCAATACAACGGTTTAAAAATTTGAAATTAATTACAACAAAATAAAAATAAAATAAAACGTATTTCCATGCCCAGGATAGACTTTCTGCATCTCTATGGTTGATGCATCCTTTGTCAATATGGGCCTTGTAAATTTAAAGAAGTACAACCCATTGGTAGTTGTATCCTGTGAATGGAGTTTGGGAAAACATCATTAAGTCGGCATTGTGACAAAAATTTAAATTTACAAGGCCCATATTGTATCAATCATAGAGATGCAGAAAGTCTATCCTGAGCATGGAAATACGTTTTATTTTATTTTTATTTTGTTGTAATTAATTTCAAATTTTTAAACCGTTGTATTGCTTGCATTCTATTTTACGTTCGTTTTTGTTTTAACTGAAGAAGACTATTAAAAATAGTCAGAAACGTTATTATATTTTTTATTAAATACTTCATTGCTGGAAATACTAAGGTGTTTGATTATTTTAAGACATTTATATTCCAGTAAGTTATTTTATTTTATTTTAATAAATATACATCAACCTAAACGTGATACGTAGAAAATAGACACTCGTAATTACCATAAATAATCAGGCTATATTTTGGAAATAATAATTATGAATTACAAATAAATTTAAGGGTAGTGTAACTGGCAATGTGTCTGCACAGTAAGCGGGAGTTGTGGGTTCGAGTCCCACTTTGGGCGATTCTTTTCTTCCAGTTTATTCTAAATTAATTAATTAAATATTATAATTATTAAATTTAATATGAGATGATGCCTAATGCCTCCCTCTAGTGCCAAATTTATAATTATTTTCCAAAATATTGCCCAATTATTTATGGCAATTGTGGGGTCTATTTGATTCTGTGAAATTTAACAAATCTGATGTCAATAAGTGAAAGTTGAAATTATTTATAATGAGTTGATATTTGATAAGTTTAGTTTTTTACTTTTACAGATCTAATTATAAAAATATAAATAAAAATGTCATTTTTTTTTAAAACCCATAAGTATTTTATACTATTAGATAGCAGAGAAAATGTAGAAATTGAAGATATAATCGTAGTCAAGTGTATATATCTGTAAAAATATAAAAATTGCATTAATTTGCTTTATGTTCATATATAAACAACTGGTAAGTGTATATTTTTGCTTTTCTAAACAAAAAATCTGAAACTATGTGAAAACATTAAATTTCTCTTATGAGTTATATGGAACCATTTATTGCACTGTATGAGTTCTAGTTGCAAAATTTTCATTGCGTTATACAAATTCTTGTTATAAGGGAGCATGTTATACAGGAATTTACTGTACCATTGAATATTGAGTGTGACAAAGTTGCGATCAAATTCATAAGAGCTTATCAATGGAAGGATTATTAGGAAAATTTTGGTTCAAACTCACCATCTTTTTCTAAAATATTTTTGTTTACTATGATTTATTTTTAATATTTTGTTAGCTTAATAAATTGTTTGGATCTTCATAGCAACTGTTGCTATGATTATGCTATGCTTGCCACTTTTAGAATTAGTTTAAGTGAAAATGAGTACATAACTCAAAAGCATTTTTAAACTCTTGTTGTATTGTTTATTTTATAAGATGCACTAAATAATTTCATTATTAAATTTAGTATATTGAATAGAATTGTAGTTATATAAATAAGCAATGTTAAAAGTAGAAAATAAAACAGATTTAATAAGATTCAAAGGTATGTACTGTACTTACATCATTTCTTGTATAGGATCTATTAGATGAAGAATGAAACAGAACAGAAACTTTTAACTTTTCTAAAAGTATAAGCTATTATAAAAGTTTTTAAGAACAACAAACATATCAATTAATATTGCAGTATAAATTTTCATAATTAAAAACTTACTTTTAGAATATTAAATTTTTTTCAGGAAGTCAATAATAGTGAAATTAACACTATTTAATCAGAAAGGTGATAACAAGAAAAACACCCCTTTTAAAAAATTCAGCAAATAAATTTACTAATAAAAACGTTTTTGATCGGTTTAACCAATCCTCTTCAGTTATGATGAAATAGAATGTGAAAATAGAACATAAATTTGAAAATAAATGATAATTCCTAATAAATACATAAATACATAGCTGAAATCATAGTTGTGAATAATAAATAAATAATTACAGAAATAAAATAAGCAATAAAAAGTAAAAATAGACAAATGTCCCTTAATAAAATTAATTTTCATAATAAATTTTCAAATTAATTTTTATAAAAAAATTTATTATGAAAATTAATTTTATTAAGGGACATTTCTTTGTCTATTTTTACTTTTTATTGTTTATTTTATTTCTGTAGTTATTTATTTATTATTCACAACTATGATTTCGGCTATGTATTTATGTATTTATTAGGAATTATCGTTTATCATTTAAAGTTGACTCCCCCTATAATATGGGTTCCTATATCACGGCGAAAAAATTGCGACAGTATTTGTACAAACATGCTAAAAAACTCGTATAATTTGGTAAAACGTCATCGCGGACTTGTGTTGCGTCAGGATTGGTCGAATCTAGACCAATAGCGGATATTGTACAAACCCTTGAGTTTAAACGAGCAGTGGACCTACCAAAAACCATTTATTATTTAACGTCCATAAAAATTATATTTATATTAATGATGTCTCCAAAGTTCAGCGAATTTTTCGCAAAAAAAATAATTTATCAGGAAGCACGCGAGCGCCATTCGATGACAATCTCCACGACGAAAACAAGCTTAAGCAACGGCGTAGTCGAACGGTGCACACTCGGTAAGTAATCCTACAATTTTTTGTTTATAGCATAGTTTATATGGATTATTCCCAAAAAATTATACGTATTTTGGAAATGTTGAGTCGAATTAGTCTAGAATCAATTAATTTTATGGAAGAAACCTTTCAAACAGCTGTAGTCCGTAAACTGCATACATGCCAGGCTGTGATTGGCTGGACTCATAGAAAATGGATTCATAAAAAGCAGAACATATCTACCGTGTTATAGGAGGATCGACTGTATTTTTAAATTTACATTCTATTTTCACATTCTATTTCATCGTAACTGAAGAGGATCAAAAACGTTTTTATTAGTAAATTTATTTGCTGGATTTTTAAAAGCGTGTTTTCTTGTTGTCTATTTATCCAGTTGATAGAAAATATATTGATACAGAAAGGTGATTTTATGATTAAATGAAGCTCTAATTAGCTTTGTTGTGTAACTTAATTTTTAAATATATCCAATGAAAAAAATATTTGTACAGTATTTTATTTATAATTAGTCATGTAAAATTTATAATATTCAGCACAGTTTAATTAGAATCATTTTTCTAATAATAATAATAATAATAATTCTGAAATAAAGGTAAAAATGAAACAGATAGATCATCAGAACCCAATAGCTGTGATACTCAAACAGAAGATGTCAATCCTAGTGCCAGTTGTGAAACTACTGTCCAACGACCCACCAAATTAGAATCTTTAGCACCTCCAGCTTCTGAAAGTGGAGATAGAATTATACCTGAAGTATGTCATTTATATAAGTCTTTTTAAAAATTAAAATGTTTTTCAAAATCATTTATCAAATATAGTTAAGAATTATATTATCATATATTAACATTTTTCAACAATAAAATTTAAACAATTTTCAGTGTTTTTTCTGTAAGAAATACTGTTTACATAGTTGTTATATTGATAATATAGTAGAGCGTTGTTTATCCGAATCAATTGGGGACTCAGGTTGTTTGGATAACCGATTGTATATGAAAAAATATATTAACCTATCCTACATTGAAATTTTTCTCCATTGCATGTCGCTTCACGTTGAATTTTTGTCAATGTTAAGCCTAACGTAAACTTTTAAAAATAATAATAGCTATTGTATCGTTAAAAATTATTTCTTTATTTTTTACAAACAAAATAAATATATTGAAAAATATAAAAACCAAAAAAATATACTTTAGAAGTTGATCTAGTATCAAAAACACTCAATTCAAATAACTGAACATTTTCATATAAATGTAGATAATTAAGGATGTGTACATGTATAAAGAGATCTGCATATACTTGTGTACAAAAAATCATCTCTCAAACATGTGTAAAGGTCATAAAACTGGCAGAAAAAGAAGGAGAAATCGATATATTATGGCCACAGTAACAAAACTACCATGCTGTAGCTCTCCAAATAGGAAGGAGTCAGACTGTTGTGTACAACTATATTAAAAAAAGGTGATAAATACAACTTGAAAAACAATGGTAGAAGACCTAAGTTTAATGTAAGAGATAATATGTAAGCAACAGTGTGACATTAGCATCAAAAATTGTGAATCAATTAGAGATAAAAGTTTATCTCTGTACTGTTCAAAGAGTGTTAAAATCATCAGGATGACTTAAAAGAAAGAAATTGAAAAGAAAACCTTTCCTAACTAAAGAACATAAAACTGCAACATTGACTTATGCATGAGATTACATGTCCTAGGATGCAGAATGGCAATAGGTTATTTTTTCAGATGAAAAAAGTTCACTCTGGATGGTCCAGATGGTCTGAACTATTATTTTCATCATTTGTGCAAAAAAAGAGATAATTTTATCTTGACAATAGATGGGTGGTGGTTCCATTGTGGCTTGGGGTGCCATTTCTTGCAAGGGAAAGTTACATATTGAATTCATAAATGAATGAATGGATTCAAAAAAGTATCAGAAGCTGATTAAAATTTTTTTATTTTCAAATGTATGAAAATTAGCAAGCAGAAAATTTTATTTTATACGTGACAATGCACCTGTCCATTCATCTTGAACAACAAAAAATTGGCTTCAGCAAAAATAAGTCCAACTGTTTGGATCATCCATCTTAATCTCCAGATCTAAACCCAATTGAGAATATCTGGGTTATGCTCTCAAGAACTGTCTGTATATGCTGATGACAAACAATAAAGTTCAGTAAACACTCCACACTGAAAATGTTTATTATGAGTACGCCAGACTGCATTTTTGAGATTATTCAAAAATGTGGAAAGTCCACAAGATTTTAATCTATTATTTGCAGTTATTTTTTCAGTTGTATTTAAAGTTTTGTCAACATAAATTACTTGGTTTTGTACTTTTTGGAAAAAAACAGTTATCTAATTTGTCTTAACCTTTAAAGTTTTAATATTTTTAAAGAAGTTTTTCAAAAAATAATTTTTAAAAAAGTATAAAAAAAGCCACTCCATAAATATATATTTTTTACTTATACAAAATCATTAAACTTTCTTTTCAACATATAGAAATAATATATTAGATTTTATTCTTAAACTTCTATTATGATCTTAATGTATAATAATTCACTAATTATTTATATGTATATTTGATTTTAGGTTGGGGAAACCTATTCCTCACCTTTAAGCGAACCATTACCTTTGATGGGTGTTGTTCCTCCTGAAGGTACTCCATTAAGTCTTTATCATCAACTACAATTACTTAAGCACCAGTTAGAACAACAGAATCAACAGACTCAAGCAGCTGTTGCTCAAGTTCAACTATTGAAGGATCAGCTTGCTGCTGAAACCACTGCAAGATTAGAAGCTCAAGTAAGTTTTGTAATTATAACAATTTGTTTTCTCAGGTTCTAATGTTTTTGCTATTAAATCTTACTGTAATTACTCATCCTGAATATAATTGCAAATTGCATATCCTCAGACTCCATCTGAAATAGCTGAAACCCTACAAAAGTATGCATCAGAAGTTTTTATATTCAAACCCAATCCTGAACTATGTTGTTGCTTATTATATATAACAAACTAATTGCTATAATGTAAATAGTGAGAATGGGACAAATGAAAATATAGTAGAGCGTCATTTATCCAAATCAGTTGGGGACTGGTGTTGTTTGGATAACTTATTTTTTGGATAGCTGGTTATGTGCGAAAAAATATATTAACCTATCCCATGTTGAAGTTTTTCTCCGTTGCGTGTCGCTTTTCGTTGAATTTTCATCAATGTTAAGCCTAACGTAAACTTTTTAAAATAATAATTGTAGCTATTGTATCGTTAAAAATTATTTCTTTATTTTTTACAAACAAAATAAAAATATTGAAATATATAAAAACAAAAAATTATATTTTGGAAGTCAATCTAGTATCAAAAACGTTCAATTCAGCATGACACAGTCCGACTGGAACACTTTCGGTTAACCGACGTTTCGGTTGATCGGCTTTTGGATAAACGACGCTCTACTGTACTAACAAGATGTATTATAAATCAGTAGATGTTTTGTGAAAAAAGTAAGAATTTATTAATAAATTACAAAGGATTTAAATTGAAAAACAAAAAATTATCATTAACTTTTTAAAAAAATAAAAGTTGAAATTAGTATATAGAAATGTTTATTTGTAAAACAGATACATATCAATTTATTAATTTTTATTGAATGACAAAACATAAGATTAACAGTTCAAAATATTTACAAAATCAGTCAGAAAAAACAAAGACCATGTATAGGATTTAGTAAAATTTTAATGTTTGCTAATAATAGGGAATTATAGTGTTGTGTATATTTATAATAGTGCATTGAATATTTTAGGGTATTAATTGTAAGTAATTGATTTTTCTTGGATTCTTAAAATCAAATAAATATTAAAAAATGTAAATATATTTTGTACATTTAAGAAAAAAAAAGAAAGAAGTTATACAAAATTGTTATAAATTATTGTGTTATCAAGATTACTTTACAGAAAATACAAATATCAGCATTGTACAATTTTTCTGAACTTTGTTAATTCATTGACTTTGAAACTTAAGTATAATTACATAATTATATTTTTGTTATTTTACAAAATATAAATATTAAGCAAAAATTATGCTTTTATAATAATTATAAATTTTTTCAATTGATGATAGTATTTATATACAGGTATAGGACAAAATAATAGGAACACCCCTTTCAAAATGTGTTGTACTTCGACCATGCAATACAGCCCCACCACATGTCGCAACAGTCTGCCATCCAGTGGTGGTGAAAGGGAAGGTATCAGTTGAGCATTTGGCGGTGTGACAGTTGCATGAGAAAATTCTGTTCCCAGCAAAGCGCCATAATGTCCGACCTGTCCGACGTGCAAAGAGGCATGATTATTGGAGCTTGCCTCGCTGGAGTGTCTGTGTCTAAAACAGCCAACTTTATGGGTGTTTCAAGATCCACTGTGTCAAGGGTTATGACAGCCTACACAAAACTGGGAAAGGTGTCCTCTGTGAAACAGAACAGTGGGTGAAATTCGAAGTTAACTAACTGGGATAGATGAGTGTTGAAGAGAATAGTCACCCAAAAATGTAAAACTACACTGCAGCAGATAACATCTGAGATGAACACCCATCTCCAGAACCCAGTATCCACCAAAACTATTCAACAGGAGCAGCTTGCTGCGAGCATTCATGGCCGAGTAACCATTCCAAAGCCATTAGTGTCGCTGCATAATGCTGTGAAGCGACGACAGTGGTACCAAGACTCGAAACTGGACACAACAGCAATGAACAGGTCATCTGGTCTGATGAATCATCATTTACATTATTTCAGACCACTGGATGTGTGTTTGTCTGGCAAACACAGGCAGAGGCATTTCATGTTGATTGTCTGGTTCCTACCTTGAAGCATGGAGGGGCTCTGTGATGCTGTGGGGAGTGATATCATGGCATGGCTTGGAGCCACTTGTAGTCCTGAGGGAGAAGGTCAGAGGTGAGCATTATCGCAGTATTCTCACAGATCATTTACACCCTATGCTTCATACTCTATTTCCTGGAGAATGTCCTCTATTCCAAGATTACAATGCCCCTATACACATGGTTCGCTGTGTTCAAACGTGGTTGGATGAGCATAATGATGAAGTGGAACATCTCATGTGGTGTCCTCAGTCCCCTGATCTCAACAACATTGAGACTGTGTGGGGTTTTTTAGAGAACAAAGTCTGCGCTCGGTTTCCTCCTCCACACACACTACCTGAACTCGAGACTGCTCTGCAGGAGGAATGGCTACGAATTCCCTTAAACTTTCTGCACTACCTTTATTTCTCAATCCCATGTCAGATACAAGCTGTAATTCATGCCAATAGTGGCCCAACTCCCTACTAATAAATATTTTGCATTCTTTCACAGGTGTTCCTATTATTTTGTCCTATACCTGTATTTCTGTAACATAGAGGTTCATTTCGTGCAAAGTTATAACAGAAAAGATAAGAGATTACTTCATCATATTCATGTAATAAATTCAGATGCAGAGACTATTTTTATTGTGATCAATTAGTTGTAAAAACTTTATAAAACAAAGAGTTTATTGCTGTTAAATGCTTTTTGTTTGTTCTAAAAAAGTTATGTTTACTTTTTAAAATATAACTGGAATAATAAATAACAATAAATTTGTGACTATTGAATGGAATAATGGAAACATGTTACTAATATTTTCAACAGTTTTTTGGTAACAAAGTTAGACTGCCTTATTTATGATATGGCACATAGATAGTAGTAGTAGTATATCCCAATATTATTTGGAAATCATTTGGCTTTAATGGCACATAGATGTTTGACAATACAATAAAACAACAGTTAAGATTTTAGTTGTATTAGTTTATTTTAAAAATATTTAATTAAAATAATTAGAATAAATTGAGAATAAATGAATAAAACACAATTCAAAACATAGAATGTTTATAACTAAATATGTTTTGAATTGTGTTCTATTCATTTATTCTAAAGGCATACATGAAGATAAGCTTTAAAATATGGTCAAAAATACTAGTTTTATTACATTGAATTCTACTGGAATCTTATGGATGTGTTGTTCATTCATCTAGAATTAACCATTGCGTATAAATTAATTTCCACTTTTGTTAGATAAATATTAAGAAAATGTATAGAGATTCATTTAATAGACATTTGGAACAATTTTCATTTTTTTTTTGTGTTCATGTTCATTATTATTTAGAACTGATATAATGCATGTGGCTATTGAGAGGAAAATTATATTACAGGTTTACCATTTTTACATGTAAATCATAATTTTTATTTTAGGCTCAAAATCATCAGCTTCTTGTACACAATAAAGAACTTTTGGATCATATTCGAATGCTAGTGAAACAAATCCAAGAGTTTGAAAAGAAACATGTAGAAGGAAAGACTGATAATGTGTTTCCAGAACTTCCATCTGTATCAGAAGTAAGAAATATTTATTATTAAGTTAAGATTATGAAACTATTATCATTTTATATTCAAGTTAATATTTTTGCAGCTGAATCTATGTCTAAAATAATTTGAGATCTTTACATTTACTTCAGTGCTGTAGTTTGTATTAATCAGAATTTTGTTTTGAAGTTTAAGATCAAAGAATCTATTCATAGAAGTCATTAATATAGTTTTCTTAAATAGTTTTTTATTTTAAGATTTTTGCCATATCACAAAAATTATTCAATTATAAAATAATTTGAAATGAAATTTTAATTATTTTTTAATATCATAATTTTTTATTATTTTTTAATGCTTTATTACTGACACAATTCATTCCTTTCTACATCTATAAGTTTTTTGATTATTTTTTAAATCTATAATTCTGATGTAATCAGACATTTTTTAGAAAATCATGATAATTGTTTAACATTAATGTATAAAGTTGCAATTATATATAATTTAGTATTAGTATACAGAAATATGAATAAAATTTGGAATATAGTAATTAATATCAAATGTTAACATATTTTACTTAATTTTTAAGAATATTAATTTTCTTGAATAGTATCTTATAATTGATATAAGGACATGTAAGTACTGAATCAAAACTTTGCCAGTCATCATATATACATAATTGATTATGTATAATATTCTAATTTGATCATAATATAGAACAAGCTACCTTTCAGTTTGTTTGCAGCAGCATCATTACTTGTTTTAGTGCATGATTATTAGTAATATTATGAAATAATTCCTGTTATTTAAACTAAAAATATTTTACCAATTAATTTTTCTCCCATTAAAGCACTTTTTTTTTTGTTATTCCTGTTGTTGTATGGCTTGTTGATTTGTTTTCTGTAGTGATAAATTGCCAAATGTCCTTGGTTATAAATGTTCAGTAGATGACAATCAATGAATGGGATACTTTTTACATCATTGATTGTCGTGTCTGTCTTGCATCATTTTAAAATTATAAATCTAATGATTGTCAGCCTTCAAGTTGCTAAATTAAAGTTTCCAATGGATAACAAGTTGAATGTGTTTTTCTGTATCTCATTTTATGAAGCAAGGTATAGCAAAATTGAACATATTTTGATATAATTAGATTTAGGATATTAAATATTTTTGCTGAATTTAGCAGTAATTTTAGTAAAAATGTTGAAAAACTTAATCTTATATTATAATGGATCTTTTATAGATGAAAAATCCATTTCTATTCAAGTGTCATATGTTTTTGGCATTTTAAGTAGAACTGATTCCAGAAAAACAGTATGTAATCCTGCAAAAGATAATTTAATTACTAGTTCTTATTCAAAAATTATTATAGTGAAAATCAATGGAAGAAGTAAGAAATTTCACATTGTTTTTACCATAAGAATAGTACTGATTAAAACAATAATAATTTTTACAGCTTAAAACAGGCATTAAATACAGGCTTTAAGGAATTTTTTTATTTTTGATGTAAATCTAAGTTAGGTGAAAAGGCATACATTATTTCTGTCATACAGTTGGATAGAAAAGTGATTAATTTTGATAATGTACAGGTTCATTTAGTTAAACAATTACAATTTGTGATATATCTAAATTTTGAGTCACTTGATTAATGTAATGTTATGTAAAAAATGAAATAAAAAAATTTATTTGATCCTGTTGTATTAAACTTAGCAGAATTACTTGAGAATAATAATCTTTTTAAATCTAGTATCGTGAATTCCAGAAATTGTAAAATTGATGCTTATGTTAGCATTTAATCAGAATACAAACACCAGTTCTCTAAATAAACACAAATTAAAAATTCATATTTGTCACATGGCATCAATTTATTTTCGTAAAGAGTTTTTATTTAAATCATATGGGATAATATCTAAATAATAATAAAAAAATTCTGTTTAATGTAATATCAATGATATGTTTTCAGATCACTTATTTCAGTAAATTAATGAATTTATTCTAGAAAATTTTATTGCCAAAGAATGTTTATATAACAAAAGATTAATAAATAATTAACATAGGAAATAATTTTCATTCAACATTATGTAAGTGAAATAAATTGTTTTGGATCATATATAGAGATGTGGATCATATGTATTATTATGTAAAATACTGAAATGANAACAATTACAATTTGTGATATATCTAAATTTTGAGTCACTTGATTAATGTAATGTTATGTAAAAAATGAAATAAAAAAATTTATTTGATCCTGTTGTATTAAACTTAGCAGAATTACTTGAGAATAATAATCTTTTTAAATCTAGTATCGTGAATTCCAGAAATTGTAAAATTGATGCTTATGTTAGCATTTAATCAGAATACAAACACCAGTTCTCTAAATAAACACAAATTAAAAATTCATATTTGTCACATGGCATCAATTTATTTTCGTAAAGAGTTTTTATTTAAATCATATGGGATAATATCTAAATAATAATAAAAAAATTCTGTTTAATGTAATATCAATGATATGTTTTCAGATCACTTATTTCAGTAAATTAATGAATTTATTCTAGAAAATTTTATTGCCAAAGAATGTTTATATAACAAAAGATTAATAAATAATTAACATAGGAAATAATTTTCATTCAACATTATGTAAGTGAAATAAATTGTTTTGGATCATATATAGAGATGTGGATCATATGTATTATTATGTAAAATACTGAAATGAATTGCCCTTCTTATATCAAATATATTTATTTATTATTTGAAATCATATTTTAAACAAGTTTTTTTTACATCTTTTTTATCAAAAGATTTTATGGATGCTAAAACAAACTTATATTAAGAATTAGTAAAAGTTTCTATTTATATATTTTATTTATTGAAATAGTGATTCAGTCTTTTTGTAATAGTTTAATATGTTGTATTTTTAAATTGCTGACTTAAAGTAAGAACAGAAAAAGTTATCACAGAGTTATGTTATGATTTTAGAGTTATTTATAAACATTTTTGAAAATTTTAAAAATTAACACATTAAATAGACTGTTTTTTGGCATTAATAGCCTTTTTTAAAACATAATATATATATATATATATATACATACATACATACATACAGTAATACCTCGGCTTACGCTACCCCGACTTACGCGAACCCAGAGTTACGCGATTTTTAAATCTAGTCGATCCGTCTTTTGTTTGAGCGCCAAGCAACTTTCGATTACTCAATCCCCCCCCACACTATTGTTCTTCTTACATGTTCAGATGTGTCGTGCGGAATCGACACATAGCCACAATTTATTTTGTGTTGTTCATTTCTGTGTTTGCTATATCTACGGAGACTCGAGAGACTCTGTGTGGTGATTTCTTCTAACTGCGAACGAATCAAAAGACGAGATAAGATTAACGAGAACATTTATTAGCTTACATACATCCGACTTGGGTTTTACACACATTGAGAAAATTATACCCCGACTTACGCGGTTATCGCTCGGTCCCACCTATCGCGTAAGTTCGGGGTATTACTGTATATATATATATATATTATCATTGAAAGTATGTGAACAGAAATATCAAACAGAATTTCTGCTATAAAAAAAGAATTTCTGGCCTGACAAAGACCATCAATCAAAAATCATCAAAATTGTTTGCATATATATACAGTAGAGCCTGGATTATCCGACTCAATTGGGGACTGGGGTTGGTCGGATAACCGAAAAGTATGAAAAAATCCATTATTAGTGTAGTATTTTATTATATCCCATGTAATTAGTATATTAGTATATCGCTATTAACCTACTTCGCGTTGAATTTTCATTGATGTTAGGCCTAACAAAAATTTTTTAAAATAATAATC